GCCCTAATAGCCTGGAGGTGATCATGGGTGGTATGGAGGGGTTGTGGATAGTCCAAAATCCCGTCAGCCATTCCCCAAAGCTAATTTTGGGGCTGCATAAGTAATCTTATTCCTTAGGGTTCCTTGCGTTTCCTTTCCCTGTATCGGTATTCAAAAACAACCCCCCCCCCCAAAAAAAAAAAAACAGATCACCAAAGCCACTGTGTTTACCAGAGTACGCCGTGAGTGCCCTGCTGCAGTTTTGGCCAGCATCCTTCGGAGTGCAGCTCTGAAGTTCTTGACCAAGGAGGCAGCGATGGCATTCGGGGATTCAGGGTGGGGTTTAGGGTTTAGGGATGCTTTGGGTATCGGCGGTATAGTGTGTACTACGGGATTCTCCTAGGAAGCGCATCATGGCATGAAGGGCACTGTATCGTGCGGATTTATATTGGTTGGCTTGCATGTCCTGTATGTATTGCAACAACATGCAGGGGCAGCTGCAAGTGCACACGCCGATGTGTAACAATACACAGTATATGCGCGCACTTTGTAGACTCACAGCGATACAGTCATAGGGACCCTTAGGGGGGTAGGGGACCCTACTTCCTTAAACAGGCCTTATTCGGTCGTTATTATGGGCATTAAGGCCTTCTACGCCCACCTCCCCCTACCCCCCTGGCCCCTAAGGGTCCCTATCACCCAGTGTCTGTTGTCCGACGGTTCGAATTTGACCTGCCGACAGCGGGAGTTGGGATTGGATGTGTAGCCGACTGTACTCAGCTTCTTCAGTCCAGCTGGAACTTCAAAGCTTTCGTTGTGTGTGTTTCTTCATGCTTCTTGTTTCCTTACCGCATTGACTCTGAGGGAATGCGAAGGTGTAGAGGTGGTTATCGGCGGGGGTACAAGTAGTTTACTTGGAGTTGCAATGTTAGATACGTGACTAACAGCCCTCAACTCTACCCTCAATCCAAACACCCGTGCAAACCTTTACAGCCCCAAAAGCCCATAAACCCCCATGACACCCTAGAAGCAACCCTATAAAGCCGTTGTGCATGTGTTGGAAGTGGTGCGAACGGCCGGAAATCCACCGTATGCTGACTCTCTGGTCTGCGGCCATCGAAAGCGCATTTCTTAGCACCAGAGGGGTCTTTGTAATTATAAGGTTCCTAGCCTTGTATAAGGATTGTCATCAGCACTCCTCTAGGGTTGAGTATGGGGGCCTGAAGATTTAGAGTATCGTTTAGCAGTACGTTAAACTGAAAGCGTGATCCATGATACATCTTGTTCAGTTTTCGGACCCTATGAACCCCTAAACCCTACACCCCGGCCCTAGACCCATAGGGTAATTACGCCTCTTGCCACGCAGGGAGATGAGCCGGCCAGAGCCTCATACACCCAGGCAGGGGTCAGAAAGCACGAGGGCTTGGGTTTTGGGTTGTCTGCGGTACCGAAGTTGCGCTGGGCGGAACCTTGTCATTTCAGTCCAGGATCCTTCGATGCTGTCGTTTAGGGTCTAGGGTTCAGGGTTGTTCCGTCATTGAAAACTTGTTGTTGCTGGCGTTGGTTAGGGTACCACCTAGCTACTTGCCATCAATTCCTGGACTGCTGCACGTCTTAGGCTGGTCCGGAGCCCAAACTGTGAGACTGTCGAAGCATCCTTGATGTAGGGTGTAGTGTTCCGTAAAACTTCTGAGGCATGCAAGGATCGCATGCGTGGTGGCTTCAGCAACAACATCATGCGACATCACTGTGGCGGGCAGGGATCAAAACGCAGTCAGAGATTCGGGTTTTGTTTGTTGCTCCTTCAGGATCCGAGCTGATGGGATTTTGTCCTTACACAGGTCGTTTGTTGCCATCGGTTCCTTCATCCGGCAGTTATGTGTCTAACCGATGCGGATAGACTCGGATAGACGCCTTCGTGACCGGTCGATCCACTCAGGTGCATGGTTTCGTCTACAGGCTGGCATATTTTCACAACTGAAAGCAACCCGAAAGTAAGACAGCCTTAACTAGCCCCTTCCATATCTTCGAGACCGGTGTCAACATGGTAAACTCACCAGCGCAAGAGGGGGGAACGCTCTATCCCCAACCAAAAACTGTTGGCCTTCAAGCCCAACGTCCGCAACGTCATGTTGCGGGGTTCCTTGTAGGGTTATTGCACGTGTTTGGGTAAGCATACCTGCACTGTAAGTGGGGATATTGTTCTTCGTTCCTACACCCGCATGGGAGTTTCCGAAAATGGGGGTATTTTGGGGTCCTTGTAATAAGGATCCTACTATGTTAGTGTACTATATTAGGGTCCCTTATTTTCGGAAACTCACTTTTTACACCAGGGCTCAGCTCCGCCCTCTTGGATGTTTGATAGTCTCGAAAGCCTTTGCCTCCTTCCCTTCTCAGTGAGAATAGGATTTTGGGGTGCATTATGATTATGTTATAACATGTTACTGTACATAACTATAAGAAGAACAATAGGGAACCCTAAGAAATACTATAACAGTAGGGAGCCCCTAAGGAATGATATGGGTAATATCTCAGGCCCTTAAACTAAGCACTCCACAGCCTCCGTCCCTTCGCAGGAGGAAACCTTAGCTCCTTTAGCAACGATCTCACGGATGCTGCCGAGAGTTGCGAGGCGGCTCACGAGCATCTCTTGTTATCTAGAAAGCCCAAAGGGTCCAAGTATCATTGTGGTATATACTTGTAGGGCATTTTTGGGGGGGGTCTAAGTATATACCGTGATGATACTTGGACCCTTTGGGTTTTGTTATCTATGAAGTAAACTTGTAATGCTATTCCCTTATAAGGCCCTGTATCCTTAGGGGCACTTGGGTACTTCACTTGGCAGCTTACTTGCTTAGTCTTCCAATTTCTTTCTGGACCGTACGCAGAGCTTGAGTAATTTGCAATACTGTTCTCTTCTAGTCCGTATTTCTTGGTGGCTCTTGATTACATGTTAACTGCTGGGTTGTGTGAGGTTGGCAGATGCAGAAAAAGTCGGGAACTGCAACAGTCGGCATGACAAGGGTGTTTGCACAGATTTGGATTTATACATAACTGTAGATTAATTATGTGGCAAGTCCTTATAGGTGAACGTAGGTCGGATGCATATATGTATGCAAATGTGTGTATGCATGCATATTTATATATGTACTATATGTACGTATACGTGTATATACATGTATGCATGTCTACATGTGTACATGTAAATGTACGCATATGACATGTACATGTATGTGTGTATGTATATGTATATGCATACGTGTATGTATATGTTTATGTAAGTATGCACAGACATGTAGGTGTGTTTCCATGTGCCGTCGAACGTTTTTGTACATGCATACACAGAAGCCGAAAGCAATATGTGAGGCTTGCCAATGCTGCAGCCACACCATAAGTTTCATAGGTGAGCCAAACTCGTGGCATTGCAACCGCCACGACAGAGAAATCGAGAACCCAAGGACCGCTGCAGCCTCTGAGGAAAACGCCCCTAAGCTTCAGAAGGCGACCCCTCAAACCCTGCGCAGGCCTCAACGACGCCCTTCCTCCAGCGCTCCCTCGCCAACAAGATGTCACGAGCTCAACTCACTAAATGCCTGTGCCCTGAAGTCGACACCCTATACAGCCTAAACCCTGTAGTACCCGAATAGCAACCCTTATAAAACATCAATTGGGATCGGAGTCTTCGCGATTGGCGGAGGATCAACAGCAGCTCCGATGAAAAGCTCAGAGCATAAAGAACACAGCAGCAACATTGCATAATGTGTTGCCCTTCTTCTGGTGGTTCTTGCTGTTGTTGGTTGTCTTTTCTTGTTTGAGCTGAGCTGTGTCTAAAAAATGTCGTTGTCGTTGTATTCGTTGTTGCTGCTGTTGCTGTGATTGTTGGTTCCGCTGCTGCTATTGCTGCTTGCTTTTTTGTTGTCATGACCTTCAGTTGCTGTTCCTGTCGACCGTCCTTTTTTCTTCGGTGTTGATGTTCTGTGCATTGTTGTTGGTGTTGTTGTTGCCGCTATTGTATTGCTCTTGCTGCTTCTGTTTTTGTTCGATGGCATGCCACGATCGTGGCTGCCTCATGCTGTTGTTGTTGGTCGTGGCGGAGGCGGCCATGGGCGATGGCTACCGCCACATAATTGGTCTCTGGGTGTGTGCTCGTGATGATTCGCCACCATGACCACGACCCAAAATTACAAACCCCAACTCAGAATTCCCGTAGCTTATGCATTGGCATTAGCCTTATAGCATCCCTAATGAAATCCTTATACCTATAGCAACCCTTATAGATCCCTTTAAAGGGAACCCTACCATTCCCTACTAACCAAAGGTAAGTAAATATCTTCAGCATCAAAGCCCAAGAAGCTCCTCCTGGTTTCTTGACTGCCCCTTACTGTCGGGTAGGGAATCCCAAAGGGTCCAAGAAGCATTCTGGTATATACTTAAAGGGCATTTTGGGGATCTATGTAAGTATATACCATGATGATACTTGGACCCTTTGGGAATGGGGGAAATGGGTTATGGGGACCATTATTGGGGAGTTTATGGGGGCTGCTATGGGGACTATTATGGGGACTATTATTGGGGAGTTTATAGGGACTGCTATAAGGATCCCTTTTATGGGCTATGGGGACCATGATTGGGGATTTTGTAGGGGCTGCTATAGGGATCCCTTTTGCACTGACGTCCAGAATTTTGCAGCGCAGCGTGGCCGGTGATTCATGCGGCCTTGTGTATGCCCGCGCCTGCCCTCACAAAGCCTGGCCGCAATCCGTGACCCAAGAGTTCCATATTAATAAGCGCCACCCAGACTTTCTACCAAGAGCTTGAACCTCGAAAACACCGGGCTGCCACACAGGTACTATAGGCATTGACCTTTGTAATAATGTAGTACAACGTATATGAACCCGTGTGAATGTATGTATATATATATATATATACACATGCGTATATAGAGGAATATGTGTATATATATGTATGTATAGATAGATATCATGCAACACATAGAGTGAGACCTCTTCGCTCGGAGCCACATGGGCCGCAAAGTTCGCCATCCGGTGCCCAAGCCGAAGCCCAAATCTGCTCCCAAACGGCGAGGCCTTGTGGAAGTGGGTCAGGGTTTGGGCCTACTAGGGGCCTTAAACACCTATACTATTCCTTAGGGTTCCTTTAATGGGCTCCTTAAAGGGATCTATACTAGGGGATCTATAGTAGGGATCTATGTAAAAGGGGCCTACATAATTACCCATACTATTTGTTGGGGGGTCCTTATTTAGTTATTAGGGGTCCAGGGTCTTGGCATTTAGAACCTGGAGCTTGGGTTTCGGCGTTCGATTGAGGTTTTGATCGCATGGGGTTTGGGGTTGTCCTTTTTTGGGTAATATGGGTTTTGCGTGCAGTGCTTAGGGGTATGCTTTATGTGTTTTCTTTTCTAGTCGCATGTCTCAAGCACTGCATTGAGGTGGGTGCCGGGGTCTTCTCAGGACTCAGTCAAAAGTTTCAGGATCTCACTCAGAGTTCCAGAAGAAGCTGTTGATACTGTGGATGGACAATATCCTGCATGACCCAATTTCAGGAATATACCATAATTCCCATAGTTTAGGGTCCTTAAGGTCATGCAGCATTTTGTCCACCAACAGTAGCTCAAGGTGGCTGTTCATGGTCACAGACCATAGGCAGGCTTCGGTCTGGGGCTGTTGGTTCTCACAGTGTTCGTCCCCAAAGGGTCCTGGGTACTGTTATGGGGGATACTTCCCCAAATCATAGTAGTAATTCCTAATTTGGAAACCCTACATTCTACTATATGGGTACTTTGGACCCTTTGGGGTCGGGTTCTGGCTTTCAGCTTTCGTTCTTCCGCATTTTTCGGGTGTGGACTACATCAGTTTCGCGTAGCCGGCATGACCACACATGATCTGGGCTCTTCCAGAGTGCGCAGTGAAAGTCGCTTTCATTGCTGCAGCTGTTGACACTATTCCTGGAGCGTGCTAGTTGACTAGCATGATTGCCGGCGAGTAAGATGATGACGCTGCTGCTGATGACGACGATTATGTGTAGTCGCCCGGCGGTTTCAGCTGCGATGCTCTAGCTAGTCGCGGTTGCAGCTGTGGTGCTGCTTGTTGTTTGCTGGTGGTCAAATTCACGGAGTCAGGCTCATGAGGAATATTCCTAACTTGTTGATACATGTGTGGGCTTGTCTCCTGGGATATGGGTTTGGAGTTGTGTAAACCCCAGCGTCAGGCACGCTGCCCACGTGCAGCGATGACTCTGCAACAGAACGTCGCCCATCGTGGCCGGCAAGCATGCGCAGGAGAGGGTGCTGCAAGCTGTCAGACGTTTACGATGTGGGAGTTTCCGGAAATGGGGGACCCTAAAATAGTACCCTAAATAATTGGATCCTTTATTATAAGGACACCAAAATAAGGGGCCCCCTAATTTTCGGAAACTCCCTCGTGGACGCAGCCACTGCACGGGGATTGTTTGATGTCGTTCCTCCGATTCTGGTATAAACGTAAAGGGCATTTTGGGGATCTAAGTATATACCATGGTGATACTTGGACTTAGACCCTTTGGGAACAGTGTCTAAGCTTCGGTGAAGTGAGTTTTGCCATTTGTTCTTCTGATACAAGACCGGTCTGGTGTCGGCATACTGTCTTGCAACCAATATGTGAAGTCTGAGCGGGTTGCGGCTCATCGTACTCCCTGCTTGATGCAAGTCGACACAAACACTCGTTCTCGGGGGCGGAGTTGTGAACTTCAGCGCCGGATTCCGAACACTAACAGTGACTCCAGATCCCTCAGGTTCGTGTGGCTTGCCCCATTTCGTCTTCTTTGGTCCTGGCTGGTCAGAGTGCCGCCAAGCTGCCGTGGATGTGTCCTTCAGGTTAAGGCGGTCAAGGGGTGGATCGATGGCGACGGCGATGATGACGACGGCCGTGACAGCCATGATGATGATGATGATGATGATAACGAGGTGCTTATGACGATGAAGATGATAAATGTGAAGAACATGCCGAGGAAGGCGACCATGATAACGGCGACACATGACGAGGCCAAACATCAGATATCGTGTGGCATGATGTCTCGTAGCTGTTGCTGCATGGAGGGCTTGTTGCTGTTCTTGTAATGTAGCTATTAGCAGGATGAACCTGTCGTGAAGCAGCTGTGCGTGAGCGAGTCGTGCGTGTATCTCTCTCGGTCTCTCTCTCTCTCTCTTCCCCTCTCTCTCTCCCCCCCTCTCTCTCTCTCTCTCTCTCTCTCTCTCTCTCTCTCTCTCTCTCTCTCTCTCTCTCTCTCTCTCTCTCTCTCTCTCTCTCTCTCTCTCTCTCTCTCTCTCTCTCTCTCTCTCTCTCTCTCTCTCTCTCTCTCTCTTCATACAGACATATATATATATATATATATTAATATTATAATTCTATTTATAGCATAATATAATATAATATAATATAATATAATATACATGTAAATGTATATGTATATGTATATGTATGTGTATATGTATATGTATATGTATATATATATATATATATATATATATATCTTTTTTTTTGCTCGCCCACCCCCCCCCCGTTGACAGACCATGGCCTTGTGACACTGTACTCTTGGCAGGTGACTCGGCTGAGATATTGTATCTAAACACACCACACGCGACGATGATCTGTAAAGTAAGATCTTCACAGTAGATATACAACGTATACTTTGACATGCCACGTACTGAGGATGCATGCACCAAACGTGCGACACATGAGCGACGTAATAGTTTTGTGGTAGTATCGGTATTAGCATGAGTAATATTATTAATATTAGTACTATTGTTTGCTGTAAGTATACATATCAATATTAATAGTAACTATAAGTTAGTGTTAGTGCTCATGTTCGTGTTAGAGTTAGCGCTAGTGCCAGTGTCAATGTCAGTAATACAGCACCACTGCTACTAGTATTATCAGTATCGTCTTAATGCTGGTTTAATAGCAGCTTATATTCGCATAAGTGCTATTCTTAGTATCAATATTAGAACTAGCCAGTTTTGATATGGTAGTATATTGATAGTCTCGTATATTAGCAGATTAGTATATCAATACATCAATGTATTCGAACAGCAAAATTTTCGTATACTTGTAGACTAGTATATTTGACATGTTAGTACAACTGGTGCATGAATACACTAGTACATTGGTGTATTAGTTTACTTGTATATTAACATACCAGTATATTCGTATGCTAGCATATTAGTGTATGTGTACCATATTCATGTATTGTCTAATCATTTATACGCATATCAGTATGTTGGCATATTAGTATACTAATTTGTTATGTCGGTATACTTGCATATTGCAGTAGTAGTATATTGGAATATGCGCATATTAGTAGAGTATCATGAATGCACTAATGTATATATCGGTATCTTAAGATAATGACATGCATTCCCGCGTATTTTTGTGTACACTAGTATATGAAAGTGTCTATTAGTAATAGTATTCGTATTCATATCAATATGAATATACTATTGGTATTCGTAGGAGTATTAATGTCAATGTTATTAGAATTAGGACTGTGTATAGTCGTATGAGCCATAATATGAGTGTCCATGCTGGTAATACTACTGGCATTCTTGATTATTCAACAGATCATCAATGTCCGTATTAGTGTTGGTGTTAGCACTACTGTTAACGCATACGGGTTTACGTATTCGTATTCGTAGCAGTATCAATACCTATGTAAGTATTGATGTTAGCATAAAAAGTTTGTGATAAGTATTAGTAATAGTGTTAGTGTTAGTACTATAATGTTAATGATGATTTACATTTGCAGGAATGTTTGTATTAGTATTGCTGTTGATCACGCGAAAATACTAACATTTGGATACATGAATGAGCTAAAGTATTTGTATTTTAACAATATAGTGGTATGCATATTTATGTACATTAGTACATACAGGTGTGTGTGTGTGTCTTAATATTGGTGCTAATAATATACACTATTATCAATATGAATATGGTTGTTGATATGTGTAGGAGTATTAAGGGCAATATTAGTAGATATTGGTATTTGTGTTGTGCATGTTTGTACTAGGCTTTACAGAAGTGTAACATTAGAGTAGTAATGCTGGCATTAGCTTGAGCATTCAACAAATGATCAATGTCAGTATTAGCAATGGCAATACTACATGTAGGAGTATCAATACATATGTATATAGATAGATAGATAGATAGATATTCGACGACAGACCTTGCCTTTGCAAGTGAGTCGTAGTGCATGGTCTGTCATCGGATGGGTGACAATCAACCCTCCTGAGAATCAATTCCAAGAATTCCGAAAATTCCAAAATTTCCAAAGATTCTGAAATTTTCGAGATTTCCGAAATTTCCAAAATTTCCAAAACGGCCCGACCTAGTGGACAGGATTTTTCCAAAACATAAGGGCTGCCTTTTTGGAAATTTTGGAAATTTCGGAAATTTTGAAATTTTGGGAATTTTGGAAATTTTGCAAATTTCGGAAATTTCGGAAATATTGGAAATTTCGGAAATCCGGAAAATTAGAGGAGAGAATTTTCAGTGCGCCCGCGCAGGGGGGCGGAAAATTTGAAAATACACCGATACACCGATACACCGACCCAGGGGTGCCCCACCGATCGGCGCAGGATTGCGGAATACACCGATACACCGGTACACCGACCCAGGGGTGCCCCACCGATCAGCGCAGGATTGCGGCAATACGCCGATACACCGATACACCGACCCAGGGGTGCCCCGCGAGCGATCAGCGCAGGATTGCGGCAATACACCGATACACCGGTACACCGACCCAGGAAGACCCCGCGAGCGATCGGCGCAGGATTGCGGCAATACACCGATACACCGGTACACCGACCCAGGGGGACCCCGCGAGCGATCGGCGCAGGATTGCAGCAATACACCGATACACCGGTACACCGACCCAGGGGGACCCCGCGAGCGATCGGCGCAGGATTGCGGCAATACACCGATACACCGGTACACCGACCCAGGGGGACCCCGCGAGCGATCGGCGCAGGATTGTGGCAATACACCGATACACCGGTACACCGACCCAGGGGGACCCCGCGAGCGATCGGCGCAGGATTGCGGCAATACACCGATACACCGGTGCACCGACCCAGGGGGACCCCGCGAGCGATCGGCGCAGGATTGCAGCAATACACCGATACACCGGGACCCCGCGAGCGATCGGCGCAGGATTGCGGCAATACACCGATACACCGGTACACCGACCCAGGGGGACCCCGCGAGCTCCAAAACAGGCCCAGAAAATCCTGGACCTTCTTTGCTGCAGTCCCTCACCGGTACCTCGGAGTTCACGGGTGATAGGAAGTTCTGCTTTTCAAATCAGGGGCGCCCCATCAGTCCAAGGCTCCATCCTCGGAGTTCACTGGTGATAGGAAGTTCTGATTTAAAAATCAGAGGCACCCCATCAGTCCAAGGCTCCATCCTCGGAGTTCACTGATGAGAGGAAGTTCTGATTTAGAACATCAGGGGCGCCCCAACAGTCCAAGGCTCCATCCTCGTAGAGGAAGTTCTGATTTTGAAATCAGGGGCGCCCCATCAGTCCAAGGCTCCATCCTCGGAGTTCACTGGTGATAGGAAGTTCTGATTTAAAAGTCACGGGCGCCCCATCAGTCCAAGGCTCCATCCTCGGAGTTCACTGGTAAAAGAAAGTTCTGATTTAAAGATCAGGGGCGCCCCATCAGTCCAAGGCTCCATCCTCGGAGTTCACGGGTGATAGGAAGTTCTGATTTAAAAATATCAGGGGCGCCCCATCAGTCCAAGGCTCCATCCTCGGAGTTCACGGGTGATAGGAAGTTCTGCTTTAAAAATCAGGGGCGCCCCATCAGTCCAAGGCTCCATCCTCGGAGTTCACGGGTGATAGGAAGTTCTGATTTTAAAATCACGGGCGCCCCATCAGTCCAAGGCTCCATCCTCGGAGTTCACTGGTGAGAGGAAGTTCTGATTTAAAAATCAGGGGCGCCCCATCAGTCCAAGGCTCCATCCTCGGAGTTCACGGGTGATAGGAAGTTCTGATTTTAAAATCACGGGCGCCCCATCAGTCCAAGGCTCCATCCTCGGAGTTCACTGGTGATGGGAAGTTCTGACTTTAAAATCAGTCCAAGGCTCCATCCTCGGAGTTCACTGCATAGGAAGTTCTGATTTAAAAATCAGGGGCGCCCCATCAGTCCAAGGCTCCATCCTCGGAGTTCACTGGTGATAGGAAGTTCTGATTTAAAAATCAGGGGCGCCCCATCAGTCCAAGGCTCCATCCTCGGAGTTCATTGGTGATAGGAAGTTCTGATTTAAAATCACGGGCGCCCCATCAGTCCAAGGCTCCATCCTCGGAGTTCACTGGTGAGAGGAAGTTCTGATTTAAAGATCAGGGGCGCCCCATCAGTCCAAGGCTCCATCCTCGGAGTTCACGGGTGATAGGAAGTTCTGATTTAAAAATATCAGGGGCGCCCCATCAGTCCAAGGCTCCATCCTCGGAGTTCACGGGTGATAGGAAGTTCTGCTTTAAAAATCAGGGGCGCCCCATCAGTCCAAGGCTCCATCCTCGGAGTCACTGGTGAGAGAAGTTTGATTAAAAACCAGGGGCGCCCATCAGTCCAGGCTCCACTCGGAGTGCATGGGGGATAGGAAGTTCTGATTTAAAAATATCAGGGGCGCCCCATCAGTCCACGGCGCCATCCTCGGAGTTGGTGATGGAAGTTCTGATTTAAAAATCAGGGGCGCCCCATCAGTCCAAGGCTCCATCCTCGGAGTTCCCGGGTGATAGGAAGTTCTGATGTAAAAATCACGGGCGCCCCATCAGTCCAAGGCTCCATC